TTTTCACACTCACACTAGTAGGTAGTGTAACGCTTCACACATAGATGCTTCTTGATGCAATTTTGGTCATTTGGGAGCTCCAAACTTGTGTTTTCCACACTTACACTAGTAGGTAGTGTAGCGTTTCACGCATAGATGCTTCTTGATGCAATCTTGGTGATTTGGGAGCTTCAAATTTGTGATTTTCACACTCATACTAGTAGGTAGTGTAGCGCTTCACACATAGATGCTTCTTGATGCAATCTTGGTGATTTGGGAGCTTCAAACTTGTGATTTTCACACTCACACTAGTAGGTAGTGTAGCGCTTCACACCTAGATGCTTCTTGATGCAATCTTGGTGATTTCGGAGCTTCAAACTTGTGATTATCACACTCACACTAGTAGGTAGTGAAGCACTTCACACATAGATGCATCTTGATGCAATCTTGGTGATTTGGGAGCTTCAAACTTGTGATTTTCACACTCACACTAGTAGGTAGTGTAACGCTTCACACATAGATGCTTCTTGATGTAATCTAGGTGATTTGGGAGCTACAAACTTGTGTTTTCCACATGCACACTTGTAGGTAGTGTAGCGCTTCACACATAGATGCTTCTTGATGCAGTCTTGGTGATTTAGGAGCTTCAAACTTGTGATTTTCACACTCACACTAGTAGGTAGTGTAGCGCTTTACACATAGATGCTTCTTGATACAATCTTGGTGATTTGGAAGCTTCGAACTTGTGATTTTCACACTCACACTTGTAGGTAGTGTAGCGCTTCACACATAGATGCTTCTTGATGAAATCTTGGTGATTTGGGAGCTTCAAACTTGTGATTCTCACACTCACATTAGTAGGTAGTATAGCGCTTCACACACAGATGCTTCTTGATGCAATCTTGGTGATTTGGGAGCTTCAAACTTGTGATTTTCGCACTCACACTAGTAGGTAGTGTAGCGCTTCACACAGAGATGCTTCTTGATGCAATCTTGGTGATTTGGGAACTCCAAACTTGTGTTTTCCACACTCTCACTAGTAGGTAGTGTAGCGCTTCACACATGGATGCTTCTTGATGCAATCTTGGTGATTTGGGAGCTTTAAACTTGTGATTTTCACACTCACGCTAGTAGGGAGTGTAGCACTTCACGCATGGATGCTCCTCAATGCAATCTTGGTGATTTGAGTTTTTCAAACTTGTGATTTTCACGCTCACACTAGTAGGTAGTGTAGCGCTTCACCCATGAGTGATCCATGATGCAATCTTGGTGATTTGGGAGCTTCAAATTTGTGTTTTTCACATTCACATAAGTAGGTAGTACAACGCTTCTTTCATAGATGACCTTTGATTCAACTTTGGTGATCTTGCCTACCTAGACCCTTGTTTTCACTTATGTGATAGCATGTGATGTTCCGGTTGATCTTCCCTTCATATGCAAGTGTTTTCCATCTAGTCTAGCATGTCTTTGTCTTGTTAATACTTAGTATAATGTTCTTGGTGATCTTCCCTTCATATGCATGTGCTTTCATTAGTCTAATCACTCTTTGTCTTGTTCATACTTAGTGTGATGTTCCAGTTGATCTTCCCTTCATATGCAAGTGCTTTCCATCTAGTCTAGCATCTCTTTGTCTTGTTCATACTTGGTGTTATATTCCGGTTAATCTTCCCTTTATATGCAAGTGCTTTCCATCTAGTCTAATCACTTATTGTCATGTTCATACTTAGTGTGATGTTCCAGTTGATATTCCCTCTATATGCAAGTGTTTTTTATCTAGTCTAGCATCTCTTTGTCTTGCTGGCGGAGGCGTCAATAGCAGGCGATCGCTCGTGCTGTTAACGTCACCGGTACAGGGGACGAGAAGTTCAAAACGACACCTGCCAATTCGAGAAGGAAGCAGAGAGAGAGAGAGAGAGTCGACGTCGGGGCTGCGCTTGCGCGCAGCAGGGCGGGTCAGAGACCCAAGGACCGTGGAAGGGATGGGAGCGACGGGATCAACCCAATCATACCCCTAGTCAGATGGTCATCACAGATCGCTTCCCCAGTCCCCGCCCGGATAAGTACGCACCCGCATACACCAACATGCATGCAATCAACAATCAACAGGACATCCAATCATCCATGGACTTTCACACCACACATGCATACGACAAGGTCCCGCCACTCGGGGCCTCACACACACCATGTGTGGACAAAGCAGGAATGGAGATAAAAGCGAGTCCTCCTTGTACCAAAAAAACGCCTTCACACAGCTGGCCCAACTAGGCGCAGCCCCAATGCATCAAGACCACCGACAACCATAGCCACAAGGCCCTGACACTGTCGACGTCTGATCTCCACCACCGCTCTGTCCCTTCGACTGTTACACCCCGAGTCCACCGCTAACCCCGAGCCGCGTTGTCACTCCGCCCGTCACATGGGCTCGTCAAGCTTGTTCTGCGCCGCGGACCTCGCGCATAGCTCGCGCAGCATTGCAGCCGAGATCAAAGAGGGGGAGAGGAGGGGCGTTGGCGGAAGGCGCGGGGAGCATGGGGTTGTAGATGAAGAGGACAAAGGAAGGGCTGGGGTTCGAGAAGGGTCGATGTCGAGAAGTCTTCTGGTCCTGCGTGATTGGGGTGATTGTTCAAGTGGTGCGCACATTTTCGCGCCTTCCACATTCATCCGAGCATCCCAACCACTCAGCCAATCGTTCTCAGCCAAAGACGAGGCGGGGATCGAGCTTGCATAAAGGAAGACGAAGAGTCCTTGCATGAAGAAAGCGCGCGCAGCAAGAAAGGAAGATGGTGCGGGGATGCGAAGCAAGAGAAGGAGTTGGCGTGGCGCGCGAAAATTCGAAAAAGCAGCCGCACGTGTAAAAATCCGAAATTCCCCATTTCCTTCCCCACTAAGTCCTAACCGTTTCTTGAAATTCGACGCGCCCGCTATTCGGTCGCACGAAACTTATTCCCAGCTACCGGTTCAAAGAAAAAGAAAGGCTGTTTCAAGAAAAGCGAAAAACAAAAACGAAAGCAAAAAGAAAAACCCCGTCATTCGTATTCGCACTTCGGGGCTTTCGGAGGGTTTATCCTCAAGGATACGGAGAGCCGCGAAGTACGGGTCTGGGCTCATCACATGCTAGCGATGTGATGTGACGGGGATAGCAGCGGTGCCGACACCCGGTCGTTGGCTCGCGGTTGAGTAGGGCACAGCGTCTAACCATGGAAGCCTATCCCTCAACGTGGCGCTCAACCCTGCCATGCTCCATCGCTGTGGGAGAGCTATGGTGGAAAGTGCCCGATCGTAACCCAGCTCTTGAGTGGGCTTGGGAGCGCCTTTGTGCTCGAACGGCCTGGCATTCTGGTAGCCCCATATTTGACAATCAAACCATATGAACTAATTACACTTCAACACTTGTCTACCTGTACTCGGCCCATGCCTTGGGCTGAATACATCTCATCACGCAGTTGGACAAATTATCGAACCAAGCATCTGGTCCTATAAGTGGTTATAAGACATTTCTCAAAGCAAAGAGGAGCATGAACTGTCTGACCAGACAACCCTGGATGGGCAGGGGGGGCCCGGACATCAGACCCGTCTTCGTTTTCCATTTTCAAAATCCGCAAAACTTGTTGTTTTTGGTAAAAACAAAAGTGGGGTTGTAGGGTTTCGCGTTGAAAAATTGTCTGGTGTATGTGTGTGTGTGTGTGTGTGCTGTAGGGGGGCCCCGGACACACAATCATGCACTAGGGGGGGCCCGGACACACACGCACATGGGCAGGGGGGGCCCAGACACACACGCACACACACACACACACACACACATGGGCAGGAGGGGCCCAGACACACACACATGGGTTGTGGGGTTTCGCGTTGAAAAGTAAGCTATGTTGAAAAATAAGCTTATTTCTCCTTATTACCGTCTTCCGTTTTCCATTTTCAAACACACATACACTTGAACGCGCGATGTCCAAAAATCGATTCAACGCGGGTTTCGCGTTGAAAAATTGAACGCGCGCTAAATTCGCGTTCAAGCCCCGTTCAAACGCGCGTTGGATGCGAATGAACGGGATCCGCGAACCACGTTTCCGCGCGTTTGGGGGGGGGGGGTAGGGGTTTTGTGAAAGTGTGGGGTGGTAGTGTCCGTTGTCGGGTACCACCCCATGCACTTTTTTTTTTTTTTTTATTTTTTTTGAAAAAAAATTAAAAAAAAACACGCGAACCCCTTTGCGTCCTCCAGGGCGTTCGGGTGCCTGCTGGGGTGGTGGCGCAGGGGAAACGGTCCGAACGGGTACAAAAACGATACTCGCGTTCGGCCGCAGTTCATTTGCCGCGCGAGCCATACCGCTCCAACGCGACAAACGGGTATCCCGTCTGTCGAACGCTGCGGACGAGAGAGAGAGAGAGAGAGAGAGAGAGAGAGAGAGAGAGAGAGATTGCGCCATAGCGCGCGCGAGAGAGAGAGAGATATGTATATATATATATATATATATATATATATATATATATATATATATATAGAGAGAGAGAGAGAGAGAGAGAGAGAGAGAGAGAACTGTTGCAGCGGAGCGTGGAGCGCAGCGGAGCGGCGACGTCGACTCGACGAAGGCGGAGCAGCGAAGTGCGCGGCGATGGCTGCGAACCGGCACACGCGGTCCCGAAAGACGTCGTTGAATTTTTAATAATTCAACGGCGTTAAACACGATTTAACGCGTTTGAACGGCGTTAAACGCAGTTTAAAGCGCTGGCCCGCGGTGCGTTTGTGGCGGTTCAGTCGACTGCGCATGGGTTCGGGCGAGCGGGGGAGACGGTGGAAGGAGCTAAACGGGGGACCCTGAGGCGGGCGGCGGTGAAGGAGGGTTGGATTGCAGGAGGGGGTTGGGGGAAGGGGGACCCTGCGGCGGGCAGCAGTTAACGGGGGTTTAGGCATCGACGGTGAGATCGGGGTGAGTCAGCAAGGGTCGTCTCGCGAGGGTGGTCGACATGGGGAGGGCACAACGCAGTCAGCATGAGGCTGCCGTGGACCATGTGCAGGACACATTCAGGGCCCGCTCCTCTGTCTATCGGTACCTGGTTGTCGGCCAGAAGGTCGACAGCAGGGGGGTCATGATGCTCCGTTGCACGTTTTGCAACAAAGTTTTCCAAGGGACCCAATTTCGGGCCACGAGGCACTTCTCGCAGACTAACTACTGGAAGGACGTCAGCGACGAGGCGTTGTACGAGATTGCTCGACGGACTCAACAGAAGTTCGAGGCCGATCAGATGGAGAGGGTTGCCAGGTATGCAGCGGAGCGCGGACTCGATGTGCCCGACACGGGTGGTGCAAGGGGAGGAGAGGCGGGGCGGCGTCCGGCGGAGGGAGGGGTCGGGAGAGATGGTGGGCATGGTGCGGCAGACCCCACTTTGGGTGGTGGAGGCGGTGAGACGGAGGAGGGCGTGATCCACGTAGATCGCGAGGCGCATGGCCCGGGTGAGGAGGGAGTCCCGGAACAGGAGGACATGCCAGAGTTTTATCCAGGCATTGGGGAGAGGTTGGAAGACTGGCGGAGGCGAGCAGGCAAGGGAGCTGCAACGGAGGGGTCTTCTAAGAGGAAGGAAGGAGGAAGTGATCCGGCTGCCACCCCAGTAGGGAAGAGGCTTCGTCAGCAGAAGGTGGCTCATGTCTACGGTGGCGAGTGGGTTGCTCGCCACACGAAGGCATTCCTTCGCTGGCTGTATTCCAGAGGGGTCTCCTTCAATGCCTTCCGCAACCAGGCGTGGAAGGCATATCAACAGGTGCTTCTTGAGCAGCCTGGCAGTTCCCCGCGCGCAGTGCTCCCCAACCACTGCGAAATTGCGAGTATGCGGGCGGTGGAGACCCACCGTGCAGAGTTGGCGGAGGAGTTGGAGGAGGTGAGGCAGCCATTCTGGGTGACTGGTGCCACCCTCCTCTCCGATGGGAGGAAATCACGAGATGGGCCCCCCCTGCCTATGTGTGTGTGTGTGTGTGAACGGGGATTGAACGCGCGTTTGAACGGGGATTGAACGTGGTTCGCGGACCCCGTTCATTCGCGTCCAATGCGCGTTTGAACGGGGATTGAACGCGAATTTAGCGCGCGTTCAATTTTTCAACGCGAAACCCCCGTTGAATCGATTTTCGGACATAGCGCGTTCAAGTGTATGTGTGTTTGAAAATGGAAAACGGAAGACGGTAGTAAGGAGAAATAAGCTTATTTTTCAACATAGCTTATTTTTCAACGCGAAACCCTACAACCCATGTGTGTGTGTCGGCCCCCCCCCTGCCCATGTGTGTGTGTGTGTGTGTGCGTGTGTGTCCGGGCCACCCCTACACACACAAATTTTCAACGTGTGTGTGTGTGTGTGTGTGTGTGCGTGTGTGTGTATATGTGCGTGTGTGTCCGGGCCCCCCCTGCCCTAGTGTGTGCGTGTGTGTGTGTGTGTGTGTGTGTGTGCTGTAGGGGGGGCCTCAACGCGAAACCCTACAACCAAAGTTTGCGTCTCCTTATTAACATAGCTTATTTTTTAACGCGAAACCCATGTGTGTGTGTGTGTGTGTGTGTGTGTGTGTGCTGTCATATTCACTATACACTCAAAAAAGTATGAATGTGCTAGACTGAAGGGGAGCGAGGCGCGATGTGTGTTTGTGTGCGTGTGATTGTGTGTGTGTGTGTGTGTGTGTGTGTGTGTGTGCGTGTCACGTGTTTGTGTGTGTGTCTGTCTGTCTGTGTCTGTGTCTGTATGTTTGTCTGTCTTTGTGTCTGTATATTTGTGTGTGTGCCCCCATGTGTGTGTGTGTATGTGTGTGTATCTGTGTCACTTTGCGTGTGTATGCGTGTGTGTGTCTGTAGGTGTGTCTATGTGTCTATGTATGTGTGTGTGCCCCCGTGTGTGTGTGTGTGTGTGTGTGTGTGTGTGCGTGTGTGTATCACGTCTGTGTGTGTGTCTGTGTACTACGTGGCACCCTCGGCCGCGGCCGCTGGATCCTAGTCCGCGGCCGACCTCCTAGGCCGCAGGCCCACGGCCAAGGCCGCGCGGCCGCGCCACGTCCAGGCAGGGGCGCGCTCGCAAAATCGGCGCGCTGGCTCGGCCTGCGCACGTCGGCCTCTATAGGCCTGCAAAAAAAAAAAAAAAATCAAAAATTTGGGGGAGCGATTTTTTATGTGTGAATTTTTTTTTTTTTTTAAGTAGAAAAAAAAAAAATTGATTGATTGTTCGATTGATTGATTGATTGATTGATTGGTTGATTGATTGATTGATTGATTGATTGATTGATTGATTGATTGATTGTGTGTGTGTGTCTGTCGGTGTGTGTTTGTGTGTAGTAGTGAATATTTCGACGTTCTAGAGGAAGATTCAATCGATTTTGCTCATCCTTTCGATGGAAGTTGCGCGAGGCCAGCCGCGGCGTCACGCAACTTCCATCGAAAGGATGAGCAAAATCTATCGAATCTTCTCTCTCTCTCTCTCTCTCTCTCTCTCTCTCTCTCTCTCTCTCTCTCTCTCTCT